AAACACTCAAAGTATAACTATTTGGAATTTTCGTACAAATACTATATTCTGTACAACTACAATTTATTTTGGCAGCGGACATGTGAGTAAATGTTTAGCGCCAGTACTCAAAAATTTCTAATTTTTTGGCGCCAATACACAAAATTATCATTTTTTGGCGCCCATTTAGTTTTCTTCCTTACTCTCTCTTTCACTCCACAATCTCATTTTTTCCTCACCGCTCCACCTCTCTCTGGCTCCTCTCAATCACGATTTCTTATCCTCACCTCTCTCCCAATCCGGATTTCTTATCTCTCTTCTCGAGCTCTTGATTATAGACCCGAGCTATAGTGATGAGAAGAGGAAGAAGTGGCTAATCAACAAGCTTTACTATGTTGCCGATTGTCACTATGGCATTCCGACAAAATGTCCATGTGGTGGAAAAATTATAGAGGAGACCTCTTAAAATGCAGCCGACCTAGGAACGATATGCTTGACCTGCAGTGGGTTTGAGGTATTGACTCTATAATTTGTGCTTTCAAATTTCCTTTTTGTTTCAAATGATGGTTTTAATTACTTGGTTTCTTGATCCTATATTTGTCTTTATCTGTAGAATGATGGTTACTACATTAGGCAAAAATAGGTTCATGCTGTGGAAGATGAAATTTCTAGCTTAAAGGATAAGGTTGTTGACCATGAAGTTCAAAACAAACAAATGTTTTATGAGCTAAAAAAAATGCTGAAGAGATTGCAAAGCTGAAGGAGTTAGTGGCTAGTGTTGTGTGTCGTGATGTCTAAGTTATCTTTGTCTCGAGTTTGTTTGTTTCTCCTGTTTGTTTGTCTTGTTTGTTTCTCGTTTCTAAGACTTATTAATGAACCCATGATCTATGTCTCCTTTGTTTTCTAAGACTTGTTTTACTTTTTTAAGACTTATGTCTCAGTAGTAATACCAGTAATACGAAAACAAACAACACAGTTATACATAGTAACACCAGTAGTACGAAAACAAACAACACAGTTGGACGTAGTAATACCAGTAGTACGAATTCAAAAACAAACAACACAGTTCTACATAGTAATACCAGTAGTACGAATTCAAAAACAAACAACACAGTTCTACATAGTAATACCAGTAGTACGAATTCAAAAACAAACAACACAGTTCTACATAGTAATACCAAGTAATACGAGTTAAGAAACAAACAAAAAAGTTGGAATACAAATTCAAGGATCTGAATTAAAACAAGCAACATAGTTCGACACAGAGTATGAGTTCAAATTCAAAACCAACAACAAAGTTCTACGTAGGAATATCAGTATTACAAGTTAAAAACCATATAAAAAAGAGTCTTATACTTTCTTCTTCTTCGGCCTTGTCTTTACCCCACTCGACCTTCTCTGTTTGCCACCACCTTTTTTAGACGTCTCTCCTGCATGCTCCTGCACAAAAGCTTCCAAAGGTGCGAGTCATTCCACCAACCCATCAACCTTGTTTTCAATTTGATTCATCCGTTCTCCAAAGTCATTTTTCATGGCGTTTACGATCTCTACCACATCATTTAAATGCGTGTTTATCGGTCTTTCATTGGTGGCAATGACCTCGGTCACCAGATTCTCAGGTTCCTCTCGCAATCTGGAAGCCACATCTTCCTTGTATATCTCATCAAAGCATATGCCATATCCTTTGTTAAAACAACTCATCCAGCTCTGAACAATAAAATCATGCTTACCATCGTCGTCTTTTTCGAAGGTTTCAGCCAGATGAAAATTTTCTTTATCTGTAGCGATCAGGATACTATCAATATCCTGTAAAAAATGAATATAAAGATTAAAAACATAAAAATCTAAAATAATTATAATGCCAAGGATAACGAGAAGAATAACTAACCTTAGTTCCACCAAGGTGTTCATATATACTCTTAAGAGGAAACTCTTTCATTTCGCTTTTCTTAAACCTTGTCTTGCACATCTTATAACAACTCATGTCTGCGCCTGGAATAGCTTCTCGAAATCTATTCCCCAAATTTGGAATTGCCTCAAATGCTAAAAGCTACACAACATGCATATAGTTAAAGAAGTTAGAGTATGTTTCAATTATAACAAGTAGTAACAATCACTAATACCTCAATTATAACAAGTAGTAACTTACCTCCATAGGAATACAGAAATCTGGAATCGGCCATAATACACCCTCTTTGACACTTTCTCCAAAATGAGTCATCGTGTGCGAGATCTCACTTAGCATGTGATCAAAGGAGAATCTGCCCCAAGGAAATCTCTTACACAACTCAAGATCATTCACCGCTCTTTGAAAGAATTCCAACATGGGCGTAGCATCTGCTCCAGTCTTTATTTGCCTTATAACAATGCTAGATAAGAAGTAAAGAACTGTCATCTTCAACTTATCTCGACCAGAATCCATCTCTTCTAGCTTTTCCTTCACGTCTTGATGTCTGATTGTTGATCGCTCAAAATGCCTCCTCACAAAGCCCATACTGCCCTCTCGCATATAATTGACTGGCAGCAGTCTAATCTAGATATCAAAGCGTGTTCCCTCAGCCCATAACGGATAGGAACGCTATTGATGACAAACCAAGCTTCCTTTTCTTTCTTGATGCATGCTGTTTGAAGTAGCATCCACATGCCCATAACCTTGTGATATTTGTCCCTTGGCAAGTGGAAAATCTGTTTAAATTGCAGATGTGTTTGAAACCATGTCCACTCTACAGGTGTGAGCCGAGGCTTTAAATTGTCTAGCGTTGACAAAGCTTCATAGATTTAACACCTAGTCGATATCTTAATTTTCTTCTTGTACTCCGTCGGTGGGAAGTACATTTTCATAGGTGGTAGTGCTATCATTTCCTCCTCGGAAGCCTACAAAAACATTCAGTTGTACCCAAGTTATTTCAGTATTACAAATAAAATACAATTAGTTGTACCAAGTTATTCAAGTATTACAAGTAAAATCTGACTAGTATTACCTAGTTATACTAGTATTACAAATAAAATTCGACTAGTATTATCTATTATACTAGTATTACTTAAACAACCACAAATCCTAGTATTATTTAGTTATTAGTATTACATCTTTCAATCGACTAGTATTATCTAGTTATACTAGTATTATTTAAACAACCACAAATCCTAGTATTATCTAGTTATACTAGTATTACATCTAACAAATAACTAGTTTTATCTAGTTATACTAGTATTATCTAGGTATACTAGTAGTACATGTAACAACGACTAGCTTTTATCTGGTTATACTAGTTTTCCGTAGTTCTAGCTAATAAAAGTAATTTAGTTTTCCCTAGTTCTACCTAACTACGAATCCAATGGAATCGAAGTACTTACAATTCCGTCACTGAGATTAAATCTTACAGCTAATAGATGTTAGAATGATGGACTTAATTTCGTATCTTTGGAGGCTATAGAGTGCAATTGCTCATTCTTATATCCAAAAATTCCAAAGTCTAACGCTTCCTTTTGGAAACTGAACTGAATATCCAAATGTCCATGACTAATTAGAATCCACTAGACTAATACACGCACGTACGTGCAGGTTTTTTAAAATAAAATGTATTTTGTTATAAACAATATATATTTATGTGAATTTCATACATATAAAACTTTTTAAATATAATATATTTATTGGGTTCATTTTTACCGTACCATATAGGTGAATGATACGCCGATAGTAGGCTTGGCCGAAATGATGAACTTGGTGTATATGCTTGTCTAACGACTCCCTACCTAAATGTTCCTCGATATATGGCAGATTTCCCAATGAGTGTATTGTGGTAGCATAGCTACTCTCTCTAAGCGTGTCTCAGACGGAACAGATCAGAGGGAAATGGGTATAAGGAAAGAAGAAGAGGTCAAAGAGGAGAAGAAAGGCCGAAGATCTCCCGAAGATCCCCCAAGCATCCCCAGAGGCGAGAGGCTGAAAGATCCTCTAATGTTCCCCCAAAGGAGCGCTAATTGAGATAAGCATTCACTTCTCTATCCTATTAAGAGAGAGCTCCACCCCCACTCTCTCAATGGTTCATACATTTCACATTCCCTTTTACCAATGACAGAAGAGTATCACGATCCTCAGACGGGGTATCCAAACTATAAATCCATCACCATCCATCCACCTTCCTGATTATCTGTTCACCGCGGGATGTAATCTAAATTAAGCATCAGAGAACTTTCGGGAGAGAAATCCATTTTCAGTCTCTTAAAGACCCGATTCACCCGCTGTGAATGTTTGTAGGACCTAAAAAAATTTTTGTCCACAGAGTATATACCGCTCAACCCTCGAGACCTAATCTAAGAGGCTCAGCTGTACTACTCGGACGAACACACACATCTCTGTAAACAATCTGTAATGTTTTCACAAACAATATTACTTCGTAAATAATAATTGAGTTTTTTTTCTATCTTGTATAAAGCTATATTTTGTATATTTTAATTTATGTTATCAATTAATTTATAACATTATACACTATTTTTGGAGAGACCTATCAAACATAATTATGATCTTGTTTTAATAATTATTACTTTTTTTATTTAACTTTAAAATACCATTAAATAGAATTATTACACATATTATGCAAATAATAGTTTTTTTTCTTTCTGTATATTTTTTTATCGTCAAATTATAACTATATCCTATTTTAAAATAAATATCTATTTGTTATGTAATTGGTTCATTCATCGTCAGAGTTCCACCACTATTGTCAGTTTTTTTTTTTTGCTAAAATTTGTTTTGAAAAATCTTTTTTCATTTTTCCCAATATAAAGAAATAGTTTTCTCTGATTTCTTTATATCTTGAATTACTTTTAGTTCAAATTCAATTTAGTTTTATTATTTAAAATTATAAATAAATAGATGTTTTATATTCTCAAAATACAATTTTATATCTAAGTAATTAAATTTATTTAATAATAATTATTTAATAAGTTGTTTTAATTTTATTAAATTCAATTACAGTTTTGTCACTTTTAAATTAATCTAAAATGCTGACGTTACGGAATGCTGGAGAGGGCTCTTACCTGTTCATATATACGATTTGCTTTCGTTGGTAAGTACCATGAGCACGAGCAAAACCATTCTTGGCCAGAAGACGTGACTCGGCGCTTTGGGATCTAGAGCCATGTCCGTGGTGACTACTTCTCTCTCGACCCAATCCTTTTATACTTCCTTTCCTCTACCTCACCGACTTCAGCTCCCTGAACCTTATTTACCTCTTCGCTCTCCACTCTCTCGAAAACCCCTTTATCTCTCTGCTTCTGCTTCTGCTACTCCCTCTTCGTCACCTTCTTCTTCTTCTCCCATTTTCCTCTCATTTTTCGACGACCCACTACCAGAAAATGTTCCAGAACCAGATAATTCGACAATTAACAGCGAAGAAGGTAAAGAACAAGAAGACCCAATTCTTAAATTCTTCAAGTCACGAACTTTATCGGCAGAATTGACTGAAGATCCTGCTCGAGAATCCAAATTTTCCCTCCAGAAGAACCGTCGAACTTCCTGGCACCTAGCTCCCGACTTCACCGACCCGGAAACCGAAAGTGGGCCCGAACCTGAGAACCCCGTCTCATTGGCAAACCAACAAACGATTGGTGTGCACACTCCGTTCAAAAGCGGCGTCGCTTGGGGGATCCTTGAAATAGCTAAGACTCTGAAGGAGAATCAAACTCTGGGAGAGATGTTATCAGGTTTCGAAGGAAAGGTCAGCGAAACAGAGTGCGTAGAGGTATTGGTGATGATGGGTGAATCTGGTTACGTCAAGAGCTGTTTGTATTTCCACGAGTGGATGAGTTTGCAGAATCCGTCTCTCGTTTCGCCTCGTGCTTGCTCTGTGTTGTTTACATTGTTAGGTAGAGAAGCAATGGGTGATAAGATTCTGCTTCTGCTTCGTAATTTACCAGACAAGGATGAGTTCAGCGATGTTCGTCTGTACAATGCGGCCATTTCTGGACTTTCAGCTTCTCAAAGGTACTTCCTTTCTCCTCTCTGCAAGATGATTCAGTGCTGGAGAATGGAAAAGTTGTAGTCTTTGTTCAATCATTAAGTAGTTGTAGTCTTTGATGCTCTTTAATAGGCATGTTGATGCTTGGGAAGTTGTAGTCTTTGTTTGATGCTTGGAAAGGGTATGAAGCTATGGATAAGATCAAGTTCTTAGGTATATTGATGCTTGAACAAAGTTGTAGTCTTTGTTCAATCTTTAATTAGTTGTAGTATTTTTGATGCTCTTTAATTAGGTATGATGATGCTTGGGAAGTTGTAGTCTCTGTTCAATATTTAATTACTTGTAGTCTTTGATGCTCTTTAGTTAGGTATGTTGATGCTTGAACAAAGTTGTAGTCTTTGTTCAATTTTTAATTAGTTGTAGTGTTTGATGCTATTTAATTAGGTATGATGATGCTTGGGAAGTGTATGAAGCTATTGATAAGATCAATGCTTATGTATGTTGATGCTAATTTTTAATTAGTTGTAGTATTTGATGCTATTTAATTAGGTATGATGATGCTTGGGAAGTGTATGAAGCTATGGATAAGATCAATGTCGATCCGGATAATGTTACATGTGCTATAATGATCACAGCGATGAAGAAATCAGGACGAAGCGCGAAAGAAGTTTGGGAGATATTCGAGAAGATGAGCGCGAAAGGTGTGAGATGGAGTCAGGATGTATTCGGTGGCCTTGTGAAATCATTCTGTGACGAAGGGCTTAAAGAAGAAGCTCTTGTGATCCAAACAGAGATGGAGAAGAAAGGCATACGTTCAAACACCATTGTGTATAATACGTTGATGGATGCTTACAACAAATCCAACAACATAGAAGAAGTGGAAGGTCTTTTCGCAGAAATGAGAACTAAAGGCTTGAAGCCTACATCTGCCACTTACAACATTCTCATGGATGCTTACGCCAGAAGGATGCAGCCAGATATCGTGGAGAAGCTTCTGCAAGAGATGGAAGGTTTAGGTTTAGAGCCGAATGTGAAATCGTACACATGTTTGATTAGTGCGTATGGGAGGACGAAGAAGATGAGTGATTTGGCTGCTGATGCTTTCCTTCGTATGAAGAAACTAGGTTTAAGACCTACTTCACATTCTTACACAGCTCTTATTCATGCGTACTCTGTTTCTGGGTGGCACGAGAAAGCTTATGCGTCCTTTGAAGAGATGCTTAAAGAAGGGATTAAACCGTCGATTGAAACATACACATCGCTCCTCGACGCATTCAGAAGGTCTGGTGATGTAGAAAAGCTTATGGAGATTTGGAAACTAATGCTAAGAGTAAAGATCCAAGGCACAAGGATCACATATAACACCGTTCTTGATGGTTTTGCCAAGCAAGGCCGCTACATCGAAGCGAGGGATGTTGTTTCCGAGTTTGATAAAATGGGTTTGCAGCCGACTGTTATGACTTACAACATGCTGATGAATGCGTACGCACGAGGAGGTCAAGACTCGAAATTGCCACAGCTGTTGAAGGACATGGCTGCGCTTAACTTAAAACCTGATTCCATCACGTATTCGACTATGATCTACGCGTTTGTTCGTGTTCGAGACTTCAAAAGAGCGTTCTATTACCACAAGATGATGGTTAAAAGCGGGCAAGTACCGGACCCAAGGTCATACGAGAAACTTAGGGCGATTCTTGAAGATAAGGCAAAGACCAAGAACAGAAAAGATAAGAGTGCTATACTTGGTATAATTAATAGCAAATTCGGTCGTGTTGAAGCTAAGACGAGAGGGAAGAAGGATGAGTTCTGGAAATACAAAAGGAACCGAACATCTTATAAACCTGATCCTCACCGATCTTGAAAGCTATTTGGATGCTATAGTTGGTACATACTGAGAATGCACACAAGCTATATGAATCTACTTTTATTTTCCTCTGTTCTTTGTAGTTAAGTTCGCTTCGGCTGGGCAAAATTCCCGAGCCTGACCAAAATTCCCGAATCCGAATCAAATCATCAAACTAGAACCGAACCAATAGTAAAATAACCCAACTAAAATATAAAAATAAATAAACGGAATCGAATCTGAACTTTATAAAATTAAACTAATTAACCGAAATTCATCAAAGAAAGTAAGTATATACAAAATATGTTTATACAAATTCAAAATATATACTTACTAAAATCATCTTATTACTTTTGTTTTCTTGTTTAATATTTTTATATGAGAGTTGGAAAATTAATATTTTCTTATTTGCATTTGCATTTTGGTAAAATTAAATCCACATACAAAATATTTGTAAATTAATATTTTTTAAGTAGTTTTTACAAATATATCTTTTGATTTTTTAGTAGGGTGTTGTAGTATTTTCGTAGTTTTTAAATTTGTTAGTGATAGTTGCAAAAATGACTCAAAATTTGAGTTGAAATGCAAATTTAACCCACAAAATTCACCTTCTCAACATTAACCATTTTGTGTCCAAAAAATTCTTCTCAATTCCAGTTATTTACGAAATTGCCATTACTTCAAATTAATTTCTTTTATTTTTTGATATCCAATTGACCAAATAATCTTCATATTCCTCATTTATTTACGAAAATGTCATCATCAATTCACCCAATCACCATTTTTAACCAATTTCAAGCTTTAATGGCACCAAAAACCCATTTTGAGCTTGGATAGTTCATTATCTTTCTCTTAAGCTTCTATTCTTTCATTTTCTCTCTATTTTCTTCCAAAAACTCTATAATTTGACTATTAAAAAGTTGAAGCTCATAGATATTTCCATATTCCGGCGAGTTGGTCGTCTTTTGCGGTTGTATTTCTATCATGGTGGTTAGAATCGAAGATCTCGACCAGAAAAGAAGCTAAAGATGAGTGGTAAGTCAAATTTTCAATCAATTTTAGTGTTTTTCAGTTTTGAGCTGCGAAAGTAGACTTCTCTTCATCACTGTGAAGTTTACTAGTCAACGCTCAGGTTAGTTTTGCAATTGACAGCATGAAAAAAGTAGACTTCTTTTGGTTCAGATAAAGTCTACTCCATTTTCTTTGATAACAAAAAAATAGTGCAGACTTCTCGAGCAGACTTCTTTAGAGGCAGATCATTTATGCAATTGACCAACCTTTGACTTTGTTGAGTAGACTTCTCGAAGAAGTTTACTTTTGGAAGTAGACTTCTCACAGGTCATTTTTGCAATAACAAATCTTGGACTTTTTGGTCAATTGCAAAAATGACATGTGAGAAGTCTACTTCCGAAAGTAGACTTCTCACAGGTCATTTGCGCAATTGACCAATCTTTGACTTTTTTGGTCGATTACAAAAATGACCTGCGAGAAGTCTACTTCCAAAGGTAGACTTCTCTGAGAAGTCTACTCCTAAAAGTAGACTTCTCACAGGTCATTTTTGCAATTGAACAAAAAGACAAAGATTTGTTAATTACAAAAATGACCTGTGAGAAGTCTACTTCTCCGAGAAGTCTACTTTTCTTGGAGAAGTCTACTAATCTTTTGGCAATTGCAAAATGATATGCTCAAATTAACCCTTAGAGCTACTCTCTAAAATTAAGAGATCATTGTAGTACTTAGGGATCGAATCCACAAGGACTTAAGACTATTACTCAACAGACTTCAAATTCAAATATAGCTAAGATATCGATAACAAATAAAACTAAATAGCAAATGAAAGTAACAAGAGCAGGAGCGGATTATGGGTTTTTAAAATCAATGAGACAAGGTGCTAGGCAATGGGAAATTCGCAGGTTGACACAAATCACAGACTAAAGACTGAAATGATTATTTGTTAAAACCGTTCCGGAACTCGAAAACACGAATGTAAAACCAATCGACTTCCGTCGCAGAGATTATCTATGATCAGATTCTAAAATTCCAAATTCCTTTGCAAATTCTAACAACCTAAGCAAGCATTATTATTCAGGTTCGATATGTTCACAAAATCACTAATCCAAATTCCTTTGCAATCAGTTATTTTGCTCATCAAAGATAGTTCTGGTGATTAATAATGTTTCCACATCTATTAAACAATCTAAGATCTGATTTCTAGGTGATCAATCTTAAAACTAGTATTAAAGCAATCTAGATGGAGAACTAAATGATTTATCCTTCCAGTTTTTCAGTTCTAACAATTCATTATCAACATTTGAATAACCCAAAACATAACTAGCAAATTACTCAGACATATAAATTGAAGCACAAATCATGACTAAGTAATATTGCATTAAAAGATAGAGTAAAAGACAAAGGGGGTTCAAAATTCTTCTCTAACAGAGTACAGAGTTATCTCCCCCAAAAGTTCTGAATCTAATCTCTCTCTTAGTCTCAATGAAAAACAAGATGCATGCCTAACAATGGCTTTCAAAACCTAAATACATCTCTAAACACGAGTGGGGCAATATTGCAAATAATAGGAAACTTCTGGACCAAGTTACAATTCTTCAAAAGAGTTTTTAAGCTCCTTTACGCTTGGTGTCGATCGACACCCTGCTCTAGAATGCTCTCCGACTTGGTCTTTTCAGCATCAGCTTCAACATAGCTCCAAAAGGCTCCAAAATCCACAATTATGCCTTGACCTGCAAAGACTTGAAAGGACTCGAAAATACCAAAAATACTCTATAAACAGGACTTACATCATGGTCAAAAACCCATAAAAACCATGATATATCAACTCCCCCAAATTTAGCTTTTGCTTGCCCTCAAGCAAACAGAAAACTAAATATAGAGTCGAGGTTTGAAAACAGAAATAATCAGCTAAACATCAGGAACACTACATTAGTCAACACTTTCAAATCCACATACCACAGAGTCAACACAAGAGCAAATTTCAGTCTAATCATCACAAGCTTAGCAAATCTCTCAAATCCAATTCAAGCTCCTTCAAGAAATCCGAAATCTCTACTGCTCACTCCTTATATCTATCTAAGTGTGATATCTCATCAAAGTTTTATCATCTCAATCACTTATAGATTATTTTCCCTTCCTAAACACTGAACAAAGCAATCTCAACACAGCTCTCCTATTTTCTCTTCCCTTGATCTTTTCTTTCTGATATTTTCGATTTTTCAACTCTTTTCTTATATATTTTTTTATACAGTCTAAGATATGGTGCTACTCAATACTTGTGTTCCTTATGAGGAGACATGTTCTTGAGTGTGTTCATTACTGTTGTTCCTTGTTAGGAGACAGGGTCATGAATGCACCATTCTTTTGACTAATACTCTTAAAGCTATATCAGGGAAGATCAAAGAGAGACTGTATCTAAACATACTTGTCAGTGTTGAAAGGGAGAATCAAGATCAATGAGAATCAAGCACCAAGATAAGAAGTTTAAAGTTCATTAAGGTGGAGTTAACAGCAAATAAACCTTCATTGCTAGACTGATCTACCTATGACTTTCAACTTAGTAAGACTTGTAATCAACTACTGTGGCAATGGTTCTTATTAGCATCAATGTTTTGTGGTTGGTTCCAAGAAAAACTGACAGTTTCAAATTTTTTGACTCAATAAGGTTTTAACTCAACTTTAAGACTCTAAAAACCAAACACAATGTCCACAATGTCAGCAACGACCTCCCCCAGACTCAAATAACACTGTCCCCAGTGTTATCAAGCCTGGAGTTGGCAAAAATAAGCAATGAAACGGTTTGTACATGGGTGAGAAGATGGTACCTTTGATTGTGCGGGGTGTCGATCGGCACCTTATGGTTGGTGTCGATCGACACCAAGTCCGAAGATAGAGTGTGATCGACCCAAACATGTATAATGTTGCCTGTTAGATTGTTAGCTGAAGTTTCCCCGAGTCAATACTGTTAGGAACACTCAAGCACACAACTAAAAGCAACAATACAATGCATAATCTCATCAGTTCAAAAAAGTTTCAAAGCATAACTCAAAGCTGACAAACTGACTCAAAGCAAAAACATGAAAAACTGACTCAAATAAAATGAAAAAGAACAAAGGAAAAGGGAAAAGTAACCAGGATAGATAGATGAACTAATCCTCATCCTCATCGTGAGGTGGCGAAGAAGGTCGAACGCAGCTACAGTTCAACAGCACCGAGATGGCGTTCCAGAGTGCCTGAACACTGTGAAGCATGAATCGCTGAAAAGCGGCCTGCTCCATCAGAATGTCGGGAACGTCAGGGAGCGAGTGTCACCCAATTGGCTCAGGTAATGCAGGAGCTCTGGACACTCGTGATCGACGAGATGGACCTCCAGCAAGGTCCTCGATAGATGTGTCCTCAGCGGAAGAAGCAGCAGCGCCTGAAGATCCTCATCTGCGCCTAGTGGCTGGTGCGGATCGAAGCAATGAAGCAGGTGGCTGAAAGCTGAGGAGGTCTGGCTGAAGTATAGTGAGAGTAGGCTGAGGCAGCGAAATCAGACATCTCTCGCCACTGGTGCTAACAAAACTCCATAGCATCTCATCTCCTTTGATCCAGTGAGTCTTCTTCAAGTAATCCACATCGAGAAGATGGCGCTCAGTGACAATCCTGCAGGTGGAGGTGTCGATTCTGCAGTGGCGGAAGATGGGAGTCAGAAGACTACCGATACTCTCGGGCTTGCTGAGGGCTCCTGAGAAAGGATTGGTCTTCAAGGAGACCAAGTGATGTGCAAAGATGGCGCCCATGTTGACATCAGTGTCAACCTCATACTCCTATGTAAGGATGTCCTCAATGCCATAGTAAAGCAAAATTAGCTCAGAAACTCGCATCTTCCCAGGCTTAGACTTACACAGACGTGTAGTGGAGATGAGACTGGCAACTATGCGCAGCAAGGGATGGTGCACATCGGTCTGAGTGGAGGTCTTAGAGTCATACCTCTCATTCCCAAAGTGGGACCAGAAACTCTGCAGACCAGGAAACTGCGCTAGAAGAGAGACGCTGGTGCGCGCTGTATCAAACCCGTAGATCTGACAGAAGTCGAGAAGTGGGATCCTGTATCTGATACCTCAGATGATGAGTGTGATAGTGCCCTCATCTGCTCTGT